CTCCTAAGCTTAACTTCCCTTTTGAAATGTGAAAACTTGTTTGACTTGATATTCTGATTAAAACTGTCTTAAAATATAATTTGTCTTTTTGTCCATCTCCTTGGCAAGGTAAACTGTGCAATATTGCATAGCCGCATGTTGTAGTGTGACATAACATCACTGGGGAAAAAGCAAAAAACATGAGACTTATATTTGCTTAAGAGAAAAAACATATATCAGCAAATAAAGGTAATTATTCCAAAAATCTTTTTTGATGAGCTAACACAATGAATGGACTTATATATTCACACAGACATTATTTCTCTGGCCTCAGTTCTGGCTCTGGTGTGTGTTTCCCTCTTGTGCGTCATACATACCAGAAAGAATAAATTAACAAAACAAAACAGATCTTCTGGGCGAGGTGACAGACAAGCTTTGAATGGGACGTTGTGTTCAAACACACCCTGCTCTAAATGGTTGAGTAACACCCTGGGAACTGTTACATCTTGTCATGCACATGACTGGAGTGGCAAACACCATGTAACCATGGCAGCATAAGGGACAGCATGTACTTTGGATAATGCATGAGTTTGTGTTTACAGTACATACAAAGGTGGAGTCATTATTAGATATTAAAACCACACGGAGGATGCTATTGTTGCTTTTGTTCTATTTATTCTAATCTTTGGGCTGGTTTCTTTGTCCTACTCTTTCATTTCACACAGGACAGCTCCCAGAAAAAACAACAAACCTTTTTGGAACTGTCATAGCTAAACAGCTGGGGTGTTGCATTTGGGGCATTCACAGATGAAGCTGGTTTTCACACCTTGTAGCCTTAAGTACCTATTTATTTTACTTTTTTTTTACTATTTCATTTGAGTATTATATTTCCCACCTCTTCCACCTACTAAAAGATAAGCTAAACAACAATGTCAAGTATTTTTTCCCAGTACTCAGATACATTCTCTGAATAAAGGTTCCAAAATAATTCTTTAAAAACATTTTCATTCTTAAAAATTAATTACCCACATTGATGATGCATGTTATATTTTGTATTTTTTGCCACATGAAAACCGCAGTGACAAATGACAACCTCCTGCCAGTGGGACTGGGATGTTGGTCATTTTGCAAGCTGCTGATAAACACCCTCATTTGTCATTTTGTTTTGAGGACCCATTGCATTCTATAGTGCACAGTATTCACAATCTAATCTCTGGAGACCTGGGGTACAGTCCTTGGGCAAGATACTGAAGCCCCAAATTGAAACAGTGTGGACGTTAAGGTTTCCCGTTCATCAATTCAGACAAGTCAAAGTAAGGCATAGCCATCAACACTATAGTCATTTGTTTAGGAACCATGATAATGGCAACTACTACATAAATATTAAAAGACAGTATGCAGACATCCACACAAGGCATTACGTCTGAGAAAGACTTTTCACTGGTCGATATCTTTTTTTCCTCTCTCATTTTATCTTTTAGAGAGCAGCAGGCACAGCTGGGTGGTGGCCAGAAGCCAGCTACCAGCTGCTGGTGATTACAGTGCTAAAGCTCATGTTGTCTGAACAATAGCCTGCAGACTGATCCAGTGGGCTGCAGCCACAGCTGTGATCACAAAGAGTGAGCTTTAGGTAGCTAACAGAAGTGGCTTGCTAAAAGCAAGTAGACTGTAGTGACATGATTTATGCTTTTTCTATAAACTTACAATTAACTAAAACTGTCTACGATAGGAACAACAACAAGTGAATGATCTATTTGGAATAATTTAAATGTATTTAATGTTTATATCAAACTACCTTCTTTCTTTATCTTCCAGGATGGAAAAAAAACAACGTGAGTACTTGGATCAATGGTGTTAATAAAAACATTAAACACATACTCAGCACATAAAACATAGGAAATAGTGTCTGTGATTAGTTCAAGTTATGTGCACGTCTCCAATGACTGTAGAAAACATGGACGACGCGACAGCTCCCCAAAAATTAAGCCAAAACGTCTCTATTGCCCCCTGGTGTCTGGCTGCAGTACAGGTCATAAACCCCGCCTCCTACATGTTATCGGATGGAACTGTGGTCAGACTGGGGTCCTACCATTGTGGGAGGAGGTGCGGTCGCGTTGTCCATGTTTTCTACAGTCATTGGTCTATAACAGTCACATTCAGTCAATCCAGAAAAATGGGTCACCCAAAGAGTTGCAACAATGAAAGGCAAACTTTTTTTTTTTCTTTCAAGATTAAATGATTATAGTTGATATAGTTGATGATAATAGTACACAGTCAAAGGAGCTTGCAAAGAAAAGCGTCTGGACTTCTTTAAGTTGCTTGAAGACGTTTCACCTCTCATCCGAGAAGCTTCTTCAGTTCTAAGGTCAAATGGTGGAGAGTCCCAGATTTAAACCCAGTGGGAATATCCATCTGCAGAGGGACAAAAGACCCCCGATGATCCTCTAATCGCCTGAGCCAAGGTGTGAAACTGGGTGTGGGTCCCAATCAGCCAGGGTTTTGGGTGAGCTCATTGTGAAACCTGGCCCCACCTTATCATGCGAATTCCTGAGATCAGATGGCCCAGGGTGTGGGCATTAAGGCGTCTGGGGAGGGAACTCAAAACTGGATTATAGATGGCAGAGAGTTGGTGTTGTAAACCACCGCCTCTGTTCAAAGATGGTCGCTCACAGTGGACATAGATGCTTCTTTCACTCCTCTTTCAAACCATCTGTCCTCTCTGTCCAAAATGTGAACATTGGCATCCTCGAAAGAGTGACCTTTGTCCTTTAGATGCAGATGGACTGCTGAGTCTTGTCCTGTGGAGGTGGCTCTTCTGTGTTGTGCGATGCGCTTGTGAAGTGGCTGTTTGGTCTCTCCAATGTAGAGGTCTGGGCATTCCTCGCTGCACTGTACAGCATACACCACATTGATAAGTCTGTGTTTTGGAGTTTTGTCTTTCGGGTGAACGAGTTTTTGTCTGAGCGTGTTGCTGGGTCTGAAATACACTGGGATGTCGTGCTTGGAGAAAACTCTCCTGAGTTTTTCTGATACACCAACTACATAGGGGATGACAATGTTGTTGCGTCTGTCCTTCTTATCCTCCCTCGCTGGTGTCTGATCTTCTTTTCTGTGCCTCTTTGCTGACTTTAAGAACGCCCATTTAGGATAGCCGCACGTTTTGAGTGCTTCTTTTACATGCATGTGTTCCTTCTTTTTCCCTTCAGGCTTAGAGGGAATAAAACCCGAAACCCTGACTGATTGGGACCCACACCCAGTTTCACACCTTGGCTCAGGCGATTAGAGGATCATCAGGGGGTCCTTTTGTCCCTCTGTGGAGGGATACTCCCACTAGGTTTAAATCTGGGTCTCTCCATCATTTGACCTTAAAACTGAAGAAGCTTCTCGGATGAGAGGTGAAACGTCTTTAAACAACTTAAAGAAGTCCAGACGCTTTTCTTTGCAAGCTCCTTTGACTACGATGACCTGGATAGTCATCCAGAGAACCTTCACAGACATAATAGTACACAAAACGACTAGATGCAAGTCTTAGTAGAATTATTTGTATATTTTGTATATCATGTGTATTTGTATATGTTGCAAATGCTACATTATAGTGCTTGATGCAAAGTATGTTATTTTTAAATAAATAAAAACGCTGTGAAAGCAGTGCTATGAAAAAGCTTCCTTTGCCAATTTGTGTGATTTGTTTTAATGCAAATTTGGCTGACTTACATGTTACAGGTCATTAAACCAATTTTTCTATTAGAACCTCTCATCGTGGTTCACTGGAGTCTCAAAGCCTTAGAAATGGTTTTGTAAGCCTTTCAAGAATGATAGATGTCAATGAATTTTTATGTGAAACAATTGACATCAACCATTCTCCAAATGATCTTTATATTTGTTGAGAGGTGTTGGTTTTTGAGATCTATTTCACTTCACTGTTCAGTTTTTATTAGTTTAAGTTTGGTGTTACAAAATGAGACTGTTACAGATATTATACTGAATCCAGCCAACACAGACCAAACATCAAATTAATCCATGTCAATAATATCCTTTCAATGTTTTCTTGTTGGCCACAAAAGGAAACAAGTAGAGCAGAGTGCCCTCTACTGGCAATAATCTTTAAAGATTGTACTTTGGCAAATGTCATATAACAGAGGAAACAATGCAGGATCACAACTACAATCCAAGATAAGCAATTTAGTGAATGTAGGAAGCTATGGATGGTTATAGGCTGCTCCATACAAAATCACATTACCCATGTTAACCATCACAATATTTCTACACTGAAAGAGCGTTACATCACTTTTAAAAGGATAAACATATCTGAAAGATTGAATTCTTGGTTCAATATAGTTGTTTGGAGAGGTTTTATTGACACTGGTCACTGGGAAGGTGCTCATGCTCAGGATTCCAAGAAGACCTTGCAAAACATTCAGCAGCCTTTCTGTCACACTCACAGATGAACATCTCACATTCATTGTTATTGTCTGAAGAAGAGAAAATAAAGAGCTCAAAATTCACTTTGCAATAACCAGAAGGCCAACAAGTGCTACTATAAAGTTAAATGCCAATCGGCTTTTTTGAGTACTCACTGCCACAGGTGATCTTTTTATTTTGGTCATCACAATTATAGTCATAGAACTCAGTGTAAGGATTGTCCAGGATGGGCCAGCATTCAGGGTGCTGCAAAGCATCAGTGTAACACTGGTCATGCACCTGGCAGCACCTACAGTGGGGCAAAAAAGTATTTAGTCAGCCACCGATTGTGCAAGTTCCCCCACTTAAAATGATGACAGAGGTCAGTAATTTGCACCAGAGGTACACGTCAACTGTGAGAGACAGAATGTGAAAAAAAATCCATGAATCCACATGGTAGGATTTGTAAAGAATTTATTCGTAAATTAGGGTGGAAAATAAACAGGTCACATACTGTGTGAAGGTGGGCAGTGTGGAGTCCAGTGAGGCATGATTGAAGTCCCCTGATATTATGAGAAGGGCTCTCGGTGATTGTGTTTGCAGTCTGCTGACCAGAGTGGAGAGAGTCACAGGCTGCATCCGCGTTGGCCGAGGGGGGGGACATACGCTGTTATCGCGATAACATGCGAGAACTCCCGGGGCAGGTAGTACGGACGCATGCTAACGGCTAACAGCTCAATGTCTCTGCTGCAGAGTTGCTCTTTTACAGTGATGTGCCCAGGGTTACACCATCTGTCGTTCACAAAAACTGCCAGTCCCCCTCCTTTCCTCTTACCGCTGTCTCTGGTCCTGTCCGCTCGCAGCAGCTGGAATCCCGGTAGTGTCACGCTTGTGTCCGGAGTTAGCGATGTTAGCCACGACTCCGTTAGCATCATGATGCTACATTGCCGGTACTCCCTCTGTGACCATTTTGGCAGCAACATGAACAGCGCCACTGTAAGCGGCACTGCAGAAACTTTTCAGCCATCGGAGTATTCATCCCACTTTAATTCACATGACATCAAGTTGTATATCAAAAAAAATAAATAGGTTAAATATTACCGACCCGTATAATGCTCCTGGCATGCTTTTCAAAAGTATTTCAGCATCCCAGATCTATGCCATCCGGACATACATACCTTATAAACTTCCCATCGCACTACTCGGGGGACTCTTTAAAAGCCTACAAAAGCCTGGAGGGTTACAAATGGACCCAATCTGGCTTTGTGACAAACATTCGGCTGTGGAATCTTCAAGCAAAAAAAATTCTTCATCATCACTGGAAAGGTAAATGTCATATTATCCCAGGCAGTGTAACGTTAGCATTGTTAGCGTTGTCCTTTGTTTACATTAGCTTTGCTCAAACGCCTCTGGTTGTCAGTAGCCATTTTGTGTTTTTGGTGTACTTAACCAAGATTTTTAACATTTGTAATTGTATTTATAGGTTCAACATTCCCAAAGGCTAAATGACCCACAGTTGAAGCCATGGGTAGTAGTGAGAAAAGACGGGGTTGTCTTGGGAGCACACTGTAACTGCACAGCTGGCCTTGGTGAGAGCTGCTCACATGCGTCAGCTGTGTTGTTCAGCACATGGCAGCATACCAGTGGAAAAAAAAGAAGAGATAGCTGTTACATCTAAGAAGTGCAAGTGGGTCATCCTAAGTGAGGAGTCTTTAAAGAAAGTGGAGTATCAGCAATGCAATTACATAATTTTTAACAACTCTAAACAAAATAAAAAAGAGAAATCTGCAAAAGATCATCCTGGCCTCTGAGCTTTCCCACCTCTCCTACCTCTGACTGCTGCTGAGCAAGACCAACTGTATCACAACCTCTCCCAATGTCGCACACAAGAGGGGAAGATCATCAAACCCTAAATTAAAATTCTAAATTAATGCTATTTTTGTTATTTATATAATTCAGCGTTTTATATTGCACCTTACCACTGAAGCAGGTGGCTAGTTTGTAGATTTTTGTTCACTGACAGAGGCAATAAAACTTTTTTCTGATTTTGGTTCTGATCTGTATCTGTTAATCAAGAATATGAAACGTGGTTAGTAGAAATCATTTAGATGGATGTGAAGAACAAAAAATAGTGAGCCCAGGTGACGTCTGCTATTCTCTTATTCTGATATCTGTAAGTAAGAAAGCTTTCCCTTCAAAAGTCAAGTCACAATAAGGAAACAAAGTGAGAGCTATAATGTGTATTTGTTGGTTGAGCACATCAGTCACATCATTTTCATTTACATCACTGGAAGGGCACCACAGATTCACCAAAGCAGCTAATAAAGCATAATGAAATACAATTTTGCCTCTTTCTTGTGAGATTCTATAATAGAATGAAACAGTAATGCCAGTTATAAATAAAGACAATAAATTGAATGAATTACGAAACACTTATTTCTATTACAGCTGAAAATATTGTGTAATACTACAACCTGAAATGACAAATAGATTGCGTTGGCCTGTACAGGAGATAAAGAAAAAAAATTTAACAACAGCTGTGAAATGGAATAGTCCAAATCACCAAAGTAAACTGGACCTGGGCTTGTTGCAGGGAGCTGAAGTTAATAAACATCTTGTGAGTGTATGCACTCACACTTAGGACCATATAATAATAATAAATATGTCCGTGATGAAAGTTGTTCAGCACGCTAACGTCCTTAGTCCACTCTGTATGCTAGTATAGGTCTAACCGTTTCACTCCTTTGATTTTTTTCCTCGTACTTTTTTTTTTTCTTTTTGTCTAGTCTGTCTTTGTACAGACCTGCCGTGTTCTCCGTCATTTTGTACAAAACTGTTTTTGGGGCAAATAAAATGCAAGTAGGGATTAAAACTGCAGAATTAATGATTACCGGTGCTGGAAATGCTAGCGCTTGATGCAGTGTTTTGATTTTGCTGCCACTCATGCCCACAATGCAATGCGCGAAAGTCATGTGGTCTGTCAATCTCTGTTTGCTCTATCCATTGTAGCTTTGCTTTCTGTCTTCTGTTGAACACATCCAGTCTTATTTTTCTTCTCCTCTTCTCTGGAGATAGAACGTAGTTGAAAAAAGCTGGAATAAAGTCCGGACTCAATGGATTATCGCTCTTTCTGCCTAAAAAATAAACATAAACATTTCAGTATTTCTACTTTAGAGCTTGCTAACTTAGAAAGCACGACAGAAAGGCCACGATGCATGCAACTATGTGGTTTTGCACTCATCAGAAACCACAATGATAGTCTAGTAAAAAATGAAAATTCTTATGTTAGAAAGCTTGTATTTGGTAACTTACCCGATATGAAATGATTGCTGCACAAGCGGAATCCGACGGCTGGAGTCCCATCTTTCAGTCTTGTTTTGCTTACTCCTGGCTCTTTTAATAGCGCTAATCAATTTAGCTCGCCTTTCCGCATCTTTGGGAATGCGCTAAAACGACGGACCTTTCTTTTTTCTTCATCTATTTGTACAACATGGAGCGCAACAGTTATTGACCATGGTTAGCCTCCTTCACCGTGGCAGTCAGCCGATTGCTTCCGAAATGGGGGAGGACCTGTGTGACGTCATCCCCCGGAGCTCTGGGAGACACTTAAAAGAAGTGGAGGATCTATCGGTTTTGTGAGGGGTAAGTGTGTTAGCCCTAACTATTAGCCTAAAAGCCATCATCAGTATTATACGAATCATGATAAAACACGCCTACCATGTTTTGGGTTCCTGAAACTGGTCCATCGGGTTTTTGTCTCCCCAGAAACACTTCCGTTGTGTTTTTTCCTATTTGTTGTTCTTTTTTGCTATATCCGTTGTATTTTTTCCTATTTCCATTGTCGTTTTCCTTATTTCCGTTGTGTTTTGTGTCGTTTGCAGCGTTTTTCTTATTGCTGGTGTTTTCTGAAGTTGCAGTCGATTTGGCCTCTCGGGGCCGCCGTATAAAACAGTAAATGAGAGCAGGAACACAGATTCTGCACAAAGACGTAAACACAAAACGCGGACCCAACGCATCCGAATCAGTGAGATGTCGCCTTTCTCACCTGACGGCACGGACACGGAAACGCCGTCAGGGCTGAAAGCCGACAGCTTTTGAAGCGTCGGCAGGTGCTTTGTGTTTTCGTCTTTTTTGCGCTAGATTCTGAAGCTGCAGGTTTTCTCTCTCTCCAAACAATATTGACTGAACCAGCAGCCAAAGACCATCCAAATTACGCTGCACGTTTCGCTTTACATAAACATTGTCACGTATTTCCTCTTACTTTTGCTGTTTTGCTTCCACCACGATAAAATCACACTTCATGTAGAGCTCTCTCTAAATCGATAATCAAAACCCACCCCTACTTCTTACCCATCAGTCTACGGTGTCGGCCGCTGTTTTTTTTTGGGTTTTTTTTTTTTTTAACTTACTTCCAACAAGAAAGCCTCATTTCTACTGTTCAATACTGAACAAATTTAAACTTTTTATGCAAAATGCTTACGTGTGTCTCTAATCAAACCTCTGTAACTTTGCTCTGCTTCACTTTGTTATTGTAGCGGGTCAGGGCTGTTTGGGGTTTTGTTTTGACAGCTATGTTCTGTTGTTCCAGGCGGCAGCGTTATGTTGCCATGGTTACAGGTGATGCTTTCTCTCTGCAACTGTGTGTTTCTGGATGGAGAGAGCGCCTTTTTTGGTTGTTACGCTAGAGCTGCGCCGAGCAGTTGTGTTAGCGTTGTGTGTGTTCATCTGTTAAATGATAATAAACGGCTGTGCTCGATGGCTAACACTGCAGGAAGCAAGACTAGACGTTACCTCTGTCTCCTCCTTGTCTGAGCTCGCCACAATATTTTTAAGGTCATCTACTATAAAAACCCAGACCAGGAAAACCTCCTTCATGTTTTTCTGTGTTTTACCCTCAGTTACTTCGACACAAAGGAATCTGCTGTGATGCTTACACCTTTGATAAAGCCTCGCAAGTGTCAGCTTTCTTTTAATAGATACAAAAATATAGATATGTACTGATAAGTGATCAGAATTATAATATTTCTGACTGTCTGAGTCAAAAATTTCCCCGATTCAAATCGAATCGATCGAATCATGGATCGAATCGATTCGGGACCTTGTGAATCTGAATCGAAAAGATTCTAGAAATCAGTGACGATATCCAGCCCTAGTTATTACCCATATAGTATGAAAGATAATGTCACAGCTAGCCAATGTAAAATACTTATTTATTAGACACTTTTTAAAAATAATTACATAACAATTATAAAGTAAAAAATAAAAAACAAAAAAAATAAAACATGACATACAGTAGATAACAAATGATGTACAGACCACTGAGTTTCAATGCAAAGTGCATTAACAGAACAATCTGTAGTGGAGAAAGCAGGAAACAGCATGTTTCAGAATTCATAACAGCAGTATTTATTTTTTGAAGAGGGGCCATATAGGATTTTTAGGATATATTTAAAGGGTAGATGTTGATGAATATAATATTTCATGTTAAAACTTTAAAAATGTACCATATGGTTGGAACACAGGTTTTTGCCAATATTTTACACAGGTATAAAACAGCTTTCAGTATCATTCTCCATGCAGGTGTATGACTTTAAGGTGTCCTCTGAAAATGACAAATAAAATACTTTCCCAATTCTGCAGGGGCCCTAATATGACTGGAATGCAATATGCACTTTATAAATAATGACTGTGTAATGACTGCACAAAGGTTAGTCAGTTACTGAAGGTTCAGCTCTAATGATCAAAATGGCTGCAGTCATGTTATAAATTAAAACATGACGCAATATATAAATTTTAAAAACATATTCTTTAATAAATACCTTTCTTAGAATGAAAAAAAGTGCTTAAAAGGTTTGCAAATTGCAATGATTAAAATGACTACGTGAAATGGATTTATATGTCTAGCATGGTAACATCCCACAATCACCTTTATGTCAGTCCTGACAGCAAAATTAACATGAACAAATGTGACTTCGTCAAAATCAAAATAATCAGAGTCATATTTTTATGGTGATATCATGCACAGACACAAAAATTATAAAATAAAATGATGTTGGTTCAATTCACACAGCTTTAAAAAAAAAATTCAGTCCATGACGCCCTATCAAATCAACACAACACACAGAGCAGAAAAGCTCACACATTATAACCACAAATTTCAGGAGCAGTTGTTTAAAATCAACAAAATAATGGATCTGAAACATTATTTGAAGGAAACTGGTGCTCACAATGATCTATGCCACATCAGCTAAACCAGTAGGGAGCAACTACCTGGTGTCACTCTTGATAAAGTACATCAGTAAAAGAAGGAAGGATGTGTGTGATGGCACCTATATAAATCTACACAGATGCATACATTAGTTTATTTGGAGTACATGCCCTAAATTAAAGGCTTATTCGCTCTCTTTTTTTTTTTAACTCTTGTCTAACTTTTGACTGGAATGGTCATAACCACAGCTAAGACTAGTTTTCACAACAAAACAATGTAGGAAAAAAAAAGATATATTGGTGAATAGTTGACAAAACTTATTTAATGTGCTCAGTATGATCATCGCTAAATAAATAAACAACAACATAACACAAAAACAGTTAAGCTACCACAGTGCATTTTGTCTTTCTTTGACCTCAACATTTACATTCTTGATTGTGTCGCTGTGGTTTTCTCAGCCACGAGAAAGACAAAAGCAGCGCGTACTTATCTGAGGTCTTTCAATGAGGTTTTCTCAGCATTAGTAATCATTTTGAGTCCTTACATTTTTGTCTGTTTTAATTACAAACGTGTTCATGTTCTACCACATTCTGCTAAGAAAAGATAAAGTTGAGCACTGCAAAGGGCAGTCACTGGAACAAATAGAGGCAGATTAAGTGGGAATGGAGTGACATTACCATACTAAAGAGATGCACTGTAACTGGTAATACAAATTGTGTGCATAATCTCAGAGTTGCTAACCTCTTATAATGTTTAGGTTAATCTATAACTGTCATGCAGGTTACAAGAATTTACTGAGCCAGTATTTTCAGTCACAATATAGACATGGGTGCCATCACTTTGGGCATCACTCAATGCCACTGTATATGCACTTGCCTTAATCATTCCCTTACAACCTTTGAAAAACCAAAATGTACCAAATAAAAAGGGGGAAATTACATTACACATTAGATCTTGACGAATTAAGTATTCAAGTAAAACAATCTTTACTGACATACATTGTGTAGTTTTTTCAGAACAAAACAACCTAACAACAATCAGTAAAAACCAAACTCATTAACCCTCTGGGGGCTGGATTCAAAAATCACAGCAAAGGTCATAGTTACAATCATTCAAGTGTTCCCTTAATTGTCTTAGCACTATCCGATTGTTCAGTCTGACGTCACTAGCCGTGTCTGGGTCTAAACTCCGCTGCAGGTCCATATATCAAACGATCACTATGGCATTACTGAGAGTTGAAAAACTGTCTAAAGTCTTTCATCTTTAATAAAATGATCGGCGTTCTGCTCTACCAGGTGTAACAATTGAGTTTAACATCCAGGCATCCATGAAAACGGAATTTATGACATTTAACGGAGTTAGAAGTTAGCAGGGAGTTAGCTCGCTAGCTTCTATCTAAATACAATATAGCATGTCCTGACTGCGGGGTTTTGGAAACAAATTCAAACGTACAGCTCTGTTATCACTTCCAGCATAAATGAAGACAGAAAACTAAACAGCAGTGACGTTTGTAGGGTTACTGAAGTTGGGCTAGCTGGTATATAATGATGTGCTACGTGACAGCTAGCGACACAGCTATGTTAGCATAATATAAACAAGCTATCTTTTTTCCCACTCGATAAAAGTTAACGTGAGTGTTGTCGGTGGTCAGGAACAAATGTAATCGCATGGCAGGATGCTGTAAAAGGACCAAACTTCAGCCAGGAGAACAACTGAGATAATCCATCCACAATACGAGGTTAGTCATTCATATACTGCTGCATGGGCTGGGCTGTAGTTACATCCTAAGGTTTTAAAAACTGAGCTTAAATAAATGATTAGTGGTAATAAAAGCCGAGGGAGGTCAACAGTGATCACTGACTGTTTTAGGAGCTTTTTGAGATCAAATAGAAGAAAATACGTAACATTAAACATGTTAACAACACAAAAGCCATATTAAACGCAGACTACTTTAGACCCGGAAGTAGGATTCGTCGCGTCATCACTGAACAACCGGATATAGTATATATAAATTAGTAGTCATTTTGGTACTTAACAATATTTAATAAACTAATAAATACAACATTAAGAAATTAATGAAAAATAATTTACCACATTTCCTTCATTTTAGCAAAGTGTGAGAGAAGCTGTGCTTTTCTCTTTGCTGCTTTACTGTGAAATTGTTTTTAATTAATTAGAGCACAACTTTTCATTTTATTAAAATGCACTAAAAGCTTTGCAGCATGTGACGTTAACAAACAAAATGCCAAAAGACAAGCTGGCACAGACAGCACCGTCAACTGCACTTTTCTGTCATCAGCTGACTTTGCCAAATCAAAACTAATACACAGAGCACTGCAAACAAACCAACCAAGCAAACCTACTGGTGTAGGAATCATGAAATGCCTCCACTTACCCTTTACTGTTGGCTCCCTGCATGCTTTGTTAGTTCTTGCTATTAAAATGAAGCTATAGTGGGTGTTGGTGGCCAAAGATTGTATATTAAAAGGGCGATCGTGGCTCAAGAGTTGGGAGCTCCCCTTGTAATCGGAAGGTTGCCGGTTCGAGCCCCGGCTCGGACAGTCTCGGTCATTGTGTCCTTGGACAAGACACTTCACCCGTTGCCTACTGGTGGTGGTCAGAGGGCCAGAGAAATCAGATTTTATGGAAGTAAAATAACCCTACTTTTCTACTGACTTATGACCACCGTAAACACTTTACTAATGAGTTTATGCTTTCAGTCATCTTATGTAATACTAAATTATGTTCACTTTGGAAACTGCAGTCGCATTCAGGGTAAAACTAGGGAAAAAGCAGGTTACTGTAAGAGCACTGTTGTGTATGTAATGACTAAGTGTCACAACCACCACTCGTTTGCCAGTTTAAAAAAAAAAAAAGAAAAGAAAGAAATAATACTTGAAGTACCCAACATCAGGCTTCAAAACAGGTGCCCAAAAACCACGATGTTCTATATAATTGTGTGAATGTGTGAATGACTGAATGTAGTGTAAAGCGCTTTGGGGTCCTTAAGGACTAGAAAAGCGCTATACAAATGCAGGCAGGCCATTTTACTATAATCTATGTTACGTATTAAATATTCCTATAGTAAACAGAGTAACACAGAACTGAAGTGAACACAGTGACCCCATTTACCCACCAATCCAATCCAGCTATTAGTTAGTTGCGCTGATATATGACACAAAAATCAGATGTGATGTACTGCATGGGAAAAGCAGCATCATCACTTAAACTGCCTTTTACAGCAGGCTTCCTTTAAAATAACTCTTTTCTGTCTGTTTTTCAGTAAGTGGCTGTCTAACTGAATCATTTGTTATTTGTTTGTATGGCTTTTAGTGTATTACTGTAAAGCAATTACTATAACCCTCAGTCCAAATTTTTTTCTGGGAATCAAGTCAACATTTTACAAACTTAATTTGTTCCCTCGTGCTTATGCAAGGCTGCTTCTTTTGGTCAGAATGGATCTAACTGGTGAAACCTGGAAGGAATATACACTAGATTTTTTTTTTTGAAAAAAGTGTGGCTAGCATTTTGTACACTCGGTGTACAGTTAACAACAGCTCCAAATATAGAAAAGAATGCTTCATCAGATGGGCTTATAAAGCAAGGTGGTGACATATTTCTTCTTATAGCGATGTGTTGCACTGAGTACCATCACTCCGTCCTGTGACAGAAAGACACAACACACAGGAAAAGTCAATTTAAAACCTCACGCAATGCATGCTTTCAACTAGGATGGAAACAGTAGCATCAGTCTTACCATGTACAGTTCCACCATGCTATAAGCCAGTATGGTTAAACTGTAATTGGTAGGGCTATGGCTTTTTTAAGACACACATGAAACCAGAATTGCAGCATCATGGTTGCAGGCCTCCTCCTACCAGTCAAGTAGCAGTTCACACCCAAGTCTGTTCAGACTCGCATATAAATGTAGATAAAGAAAAAAAAATGAAAGAAGAAAATACTGGCAACCGCCAGCCTCCTGGTAGACACATCTATGGTATTGATTTCAAAATCCTATGTCACCTTGTTCTGAAGTTTCTCATATTAACAGTGTTGGGTTTATCTTGGCACAAACCCCGCTGGAACGCGAGACCAACAACTGCACGACAAACAAGGCAAGAAGGTACTGTCCGTGTTTGTGGCTTGCAAGGGAAGCCAGCCAAAGTTGAGGAAAAGATTCCTTCACCTGAACTCAACCAACTTCAACTGATTCCTTCGCTAGAGCCCTTTTTATTGTCAGCAAGCAATCATTCATGAATATGCAATTACAAATACACGTGACATTCTTAAGCTGGCATATCTGAACAACTAGTGATGGGATTTCTGGCTCTTTTTAGAGAACCAGCTCTTTCCGTTCGGCTCACTGAAAAGAGCCGGCTCTTTTGGCTCCGAACTGGCTCTTCAGGTTGATTTGTTGCTTTAATTAATTTATTATTAACAATAATATAAAATTATGCACAAAAGGAATTACTAATTACCTGCATGAATAAACTTTCTGAATCCTTTATCATCTGCAACTGAAAATAGGATGATTACTATACCTTTCTAATGTGAGGTTGTTGTCCCTGGCTCTTTCTCTGTCTTTTACATTGTACATTTGTTCCATATTTAGAAAGTAATTCTGTAAACACTTTCTTGCTTTTAAAAACATAATTTCCTTTTTATTTTCAAATTCTTAACATGGATAATGATGGTAACATTTCTTGGTTTACTTCAACAAGCTTCTTGGAAAAAAAATCATATAAATCAGCCCAATGTTGGAGGTACAATTGAAAATGTCACTGAAAAAACATTAACGTTAGAGAGGTGTAATGAACTAAAAACATGAGTATATAAAAACATTGTGCCAAAATAGAAAAGAATGTTACATAAAGTCAATAACTTGCTCAAATGGCTTTTTTCTTTCCAGTTGTTAGAAGTTTACCTTTGGTAATAATAACTTTTGAAGCAATTTCTTTCCTCTGTGAAACAAAGACGTGCATCACATTTTTCACAGAGGGTGGTAGTTGCATTCACCTTGCAATTTTTGCACCGACCTCGCTTTTCACATTTTACAGGCCAATGTGCAACCTCATCAGTCTGGACATCCTCTGGAACTCCAACACGAACTCTCTTGGGTGGTGGAGGTGGTGATGAGATGTTCTGTGATGGGCGCCCCCTGTGTGATTTCCAAAGGATCAGGCTTGTGGCAACTTCTGCCTGGAAGCTTCTTTGTTTCAGTGGCTTTTGGACACCAAGTAGCTTGCAGTCACGACGGTAAATCAACCATGCGTTGACAACACCGAGCATGGTGGTTTGCCAGAACAGGTAGAGATACCACCTCTGTGACTTCATGTGGTACTTGTACCTTGCAATGCAGGCGTCAAGCAGGTCAATACCCCCCATGAATGTGTTGTACTCCTTCACAATGTGTGGCCTTTTGACCTCAACAAATGCCTTGCCCGATTTGCTCCAGCGACGGATTGTATCTTGAGGCTCAGTTGCACAATAGGATGAGATGAGGGTAACAGATTTGTTGTCATACCACTTCACAATAACCATGCTCTCCTCCTTATTCACCCTGGCATCAACAGATCCCCTGCCTCTCTGGGCAAGACTTTTTTTCATCTTCAAGCTGACAACTTGCTAAGCGATTTCCACGAAGTGTTCCTACAAAGTAGATCTGTCGCTGAAGACGTGTGAGCACACGTGGGGCTGAGGAGAAGTTATCAGCAAAAACTTTGTAGTTTTGCTCAGCTGGCAGAGTTTCACACAACTTTCCACAACATCTCCTCCAATCCCAAGTAAAGTCTTCTTCCCAGTACCACCTTGATAAACAACAAAATCATGGAGCATACCAGAGGATGAGCACCGGGCCCAGATTTTCAATCCCCAGGGGTGGGGCTTTCCCTTCACATACTGCCTTATTGGGCTGTGTGTCCCCTTGAAGGGTACCATTTGCTCATCAACAGAGTTGTACTACTCTGGGACAATATCCAGGCATTGGTTGCGAAACATTTCAAGCCATGGACAGATCTTCCAGCACTTGTCTTCTGCATCTCTGTGTAATAAATCTGTATTGTCAGTGAAATGTAGAGATCCCAACAGGGTTTGAAATCGGTTGCGGGACATGTTATCTGCTACCATAGGACACCTGGTGTCATTTTCCCAGTATGCTCGATTTCCAGGCATTTGGCATAGACCCATCCTCAGATAGAGACCAATGAGTATTTCTAGTTCTTTAACAGTGGTATTTACATTTCTCAGATGGTTGGAGTTTTGTACACTGTATAAATTTGTTTGTTCCATTAACAACAGCAGCATATCATCTGTGATGAAGTTTTTGAAGTACTCTAGTGGAGTGTGGATCTCATCTGGAGGTTTGGCACAGGGTCCCTTGAATGTGGTCTCAGGGGTTTCGAACATTTCTTTCTCCAGGAGAATTTTTGTCCTTTGATAGCTGCCTTGGGCTGCCCAGTGTCCATATGGCTTGAATGTGGCTCTGTCTCTAAATCACTTGAATCACAACTGTCTGAATCACTGGATTCACTTGATTCATCACTCTCCACGTCTTTGTGGGGGATGTAATTAGGGTCTTCAGAATCTTCATCTGAGGTACTTTCACATCCCTCATACTCACTGTCTTCTGCAGTGATAAACTCCAGCGCATCTTGAACACTATATTTTTTCTTTTTATCCATTCTACAAAAGAGTGAAAATGACAAAAAAATGGGGGGTAACTGAAAAACGCCTCGACAAAGCTAAAGTAAAGTTCCATCACAAATTTAGGTAATTTAAAAAATTAGTTATGCTTGAATTTAGTTAAATATGACTGAGAATTAACAACAAAGAATAAATTTACTTAAAATAACTGAATGAGCTAAACTGACTAAGCAAATGATCAGTTTTTGTATTTTTGTGACAAATAAGTCACATCAGTTTTTTTAAGAAAATTTTGAGTTTAATGCCCAATGTGACATATTTGTCACAGCGATGTTTAACAAACTGATTCTAGATCAAATTGGTTCAGAAATATTACCAAACTAGGTTACAAGGGACCTATGACATCTTATCTGAAGTTTAGAATTGCTGAATGAGTAAAAGCTTACCTTTGCAAAAAGAAAAGAAAGTTTTTAAAATTAGCACAGCGGTCTCATTAGCTAACCAGGTGGACCAAGACTTTGAAAATGGTGTCTTGAACACCCAGAGTGCCTCACTTGTCACATGACTGAATTAGTTTGTGCAGTAGACGTCACTTAGGGACTTTATTAGTTAAAAGTCAAAGTTAAACCATTATAAATAGTTTTTCTTTAAGTGTAAAGGGGCAGTGACACCAGTGTCACTGTGGGTCCTTAAGGGTTAAAATCAATCCTTTGATTTTTCTGAAAATCAACAGAGCCCCTTATAATCCCGTGTGCCTTATGTATGAATTCTGGTTGTGTTTACTGACCTTGAAACGATTTTATGTGGTACACGGCGCTCAAAAATCTGTCAAATGTTTCAGTACGACTTTGCTAAGCTACGAACCCGCACCGCTTGATGGATTGTCGGAGCATTACGGCTATCGTAGGCAGGAGCCTCACGGAGTGATACGTACTGCGCTTCAACATAATATTACCGTATTATGTGTATAACCTCTTTTTAAGTTTTGTGGATATCATACATGGTTATGCTGAGGATATGTCGGCCAATTTCCACTGGAAATACCTTTTGGTTAAACTCTTAGCAGGGAATTTACACTGTTACATTTTTATATAACTTTAATGCACATAAAAAACAGCTGCTTGTTTAAGTGAAAATACATTGATGGGGATCTTTGCACTAATAAAGTTGTGGAGTTGTAAAGTATTTTGTCTAGTGTCAATTATATCGTCAGTTATATCGTTATCGCAAATTTTCAAATGTATATCGTGATAAATATTTTCGGTCATATCACCCTGCTCTACTAATAAGGATATGATTTTTATCAGCACACAGATGATTATATATTTCTAAGCATAAATGATTATATGTTTCTAAGCAGAAATGACAATATAGAAAATATCACCCTTACAAACAGGACTTTCAGAAAACATGACCTCTGACCTTTAAGTTGAGGTCATGTTTTCTGAAAGTCCTGTTCAGAAAACTTTTAGTAAATACACTTTTGGCATCAATTTGAAGGTGATGCGTCACCTTCTTCTCAAGTTATCACATTCACAAACTTGAAAGGGTGCCCATGGTGGGAGTCCTTCATCAAATCACCTCTTCAATAAGCTCTGACATAAAGTGACATTATTTTGAAGCATTAGATTAATAATATACATTATAAATAAAATATATCAATTAAATTGTATTACTATTGAAATGTGTCAGATATATATAGTAAATATATATATTTTTTTTATATATTTAAAAGAAATGTATAAAAATAAAAGCTTGCTTTTTTTCCTTTTTTCTTTCCACAGGCCAGTAACACTGAGTCACTGACCTGGGATTGTTAGGCTGCAGACTGAATTATCCTAAACATTAACTATTAACATTAATTACTAACATCTACACTATCAGAGTGTCTGTTTGTGCAGCAGGAAACGTGGCCTCAAACCTCAGTTCTGAGAATGGTGATATGCTCACTTTTCTTCATTGCAGCCACCACATGCTCCTTTAAAGGTTACGGACACACACGATAACTCATTCACTAGCACATTTAAACACACAGACACACATGGAGGTGCACAAAACACACACATAAACACACTACCTCATCCAGGAGAAGCAATACTGTCAGAACTTTTTTTTTTTGCCTCCTAACGTAACAAAGACTTCCAAGAAGACCAAGTAAAGGCCATTTTATATTATGCCTGATTTTTGTTTGACATTGCTGTACTATTTATTGTTGCATTTGATTTCAACATCTCATGAATACAATGAAAGGGTTTATTTGTTAGTTAAGTTTTAAGCTATTAAAAGCACTGCAATTTCTAGAATTGAACTGTCTGAACAGTTTGTTTTAAAGAACCTATTAAAGGACAGAAGTATTTTTTAAATCAGATTACTCAACCAAACATAAGACATAATGAAATAATGTGATGCATATTCAAGATTGTAACTTTGCAGCATTACTAATATATCAACAGTCATTAAGAAGATGAGAAATTACAATTAGTAAAGTTTCAACAGAGCCAGTTAGATTGTCCCCAAAATGCAAGTTTTTCTCACAGGTCACACTAGTGAACATAAAGTCATTAAAAAATGTGTTTAAGCTAAATACAGCAACATTTTATCTGCTTCATGTACAACTACTTAACTACATTACAAGAGAAACCAAATGGAAAAAAGTGAATATCTGACCACCCACTACCTGAAATGGAAAATACACATAGTTGTTTTCCACTCCTTTTTTTTGTTGACATGCAGACATTTGCTGTGGCTATCTTGAAATGCAAGTAAAGTTTGTTTTTCCTGTCAGAGAGTTGAAAGAAGGAGAATTATCTGTCCTTCATCTGTTCTTCTGTCCCATTTATCAGCCTTTTTGGCAATGCATAGATTCAATCTGCTGTGCCAACAACGTGCAAGCTTGCTAAAAGCAAAAGCATCAGCAGCGCACACTTTCTGTTAAAATGCTTACAAAGCCGATCAAGTTTTCTCACACGCTACCGAAAAACATCAAACACAAAAATCTTAAAAGTCACCCTGAAACCTTACCTTAATGGAAAGTGCATAGAGGTGGTTGAGCATGACATGGTTGGGTTCTGGGAGCAGTGCAGGGTCACACTGAAACAATGACAAACAAAACAACAACATTTAAAATAAATGATCTGTATTATTTATTCTTGTGGATGCATTTTTTTTTTCACAATTTTGTTGTACGTGTACAATGACAATAAAGGGCTATTCTATTTTTATGAAATGCAGGCAGGGGAAAGTGGGAATAAGCCAAATTCATCTCAGATTACAGCTACTTACAGAAATCCCAGTGTCTTTGTTAAGGATGACCTGTAGAAGGTGAGGTGGAAGAATGGGTGGAGATTTTAACTTCTCTTCCTGTTTAGGGACATAAGCATCCTGATGATATGGCCCAGGAGGAGAGCTAGAAAGGTCTGAGGGGGGGGAAAAAGGGGGGGAAACAGTATGACAAGAACATTAAATTATTTTCAAACCTATAGATTTTAACAGCAATGTTGAAATCCATTAAAAAAGGCAGGAACAAAAAAAGTTGGTCTTTAAAATGAATGAAGATTCTTTTTGAACACTTTTATACCCCTGCTTTCCAGACATGTAGTCTGGATCAGTAAATGTTTAAAAAAAAGCACAGATAAACAGTGGCTGTCAGCACTCACCTGACATGTCAGAGCATTTCTGCGAATCCACCATTAGCGCATCAAAAACCTCAAAGTCAGTCTTCTTTACCTGAATGATATTGTTGACTGTGCCTAGCTGACTGGTTACAACAGGCTGTTAGGAAACAGGAGACAATAAAACTCACAAATAAAGCTCAAAAGTATAGACCAAAAAGACATACTTTATATAATAGCAGGCCAGTGTTTGCTTTAACAAGCATCATGATGTGAAGCAAACCACTTAAGCCTCTTAAACTAATGTCCACTCATGACTACTCTACCTCTAGTCATGGCCCTCCACTGCACCATTTGTCCTGATTACCATATGTGTGTGCTAATATTTTATACACTTGTTACTATATTTCTGAAGAGAGAAAAAAAGATGTTTATTGTTAAAGCATGACATCAGATAAGGTGACTCAGATACATGCCTGCAGTCAGTCATGAAGCCAGCTCATCATAACCTACACTAGTGGCCTTAATACACTCACAAGTTATTACTCATAATGTAATGATAATATTAATGCATTAGTGAATATATGCTTTTGTCTACCCAGACTTTACAGGAATGGCAGAGCTGCAGTGCCTTTAAAAACTGAAACTGCTGCAGATTTTGTGTTGAGGTCTAGGTAAGTAAAGTAAAATATGCTTGTTTGACAACAGGTCATAAATGACTGTGAGAGTAACGGCTTACCTCAGCTGGGTCGTGGGTCCACTGACCATCCACGTAAAATTTGTACTGATGCTCCCCCTCAGGTAGATCGACAATTGCCACAAAGGTGTTCTGACTTTGATAGATCACAAACAAAAGAAAAGAAAACATTTGGCACACAGGTAAGTTAAACCAGCGATTAACAAAGAAGAAGAACTCACATTCTTGGCTTGTTCTAGTAAACCTTTCTCATATGCAAATAGGAATAAAAGAAATCTGTTAAAACTCGAGTTTAAATCTCAAAAGATAAACAGCCAGAAATTCAACCTGAAAAACATGTTCAGATTTATAACATGCTCTCACCTTCTAATAAGGGGAATTTTGTTGGTCCAGTTGTTGAAGGATCCAGAGAGGTAGACCTCCTTTCCATCTCCTTTCCAGCGAAAGACTGTCGGCCGTTCCAGAGTTGGTGCTTTGTCATCTGATTCTAAGTCTTGCTGCCAAGCAAGGAACTCCTCTTTCTCTAAGGGTGCCTTAAATGCACATCATACACAAGAATATTATTTATCAACAAGGATTAGAGTTTGAAGAGATCTACAGGGCCAAGAAGGCTATAAATTCTACCTGATATGCACCTCTAAGAGAGCAGCCCAATTTACCTTTATGTCCTCTCCATGAAAAATATCAGCATCCTCTGGGCTATCCATGAGGATTTTTGGCCTCTCGCCCTCTTTGATACCTCGGCTATCCCTCCGCTGCGCCTTCTCACCATGGCCCATTGCAGCCCTCTCACTGCTTGTATTCCCCATGGCTTTGTCTTCTTGCAGGCTGTTACAAGGTCACTGCAAGTAGAGTTGATTCAGCTGTGTAAAGAAAGCCGTAAAGTCAGAAGAGACTACATAACACCTTACAGATTTATTTATAACTGCTAAAGGCTTACTGGTTAAAATGTTGCTTTTTAGGCCTGCAACTCTCAAAAGAGACATTTTAGGTACCAATGCTATTTATAGTGACTTCTGCAGTAGAACAAGCTGAATCATGTGGGCAGACTACAACTTTTCCATTTCTAAGTGTATCATACTGAACAACTATGAGTTCCTTTATTGACTCCAAAACAATCCCTGGGACGTTAATACCAGATATCTTGTATATGTTTCAGTGTCAACTGTCTTGTTACGTTAGTTTAAATGTGATCCAAATAAAACACGTCTTTCAGCATGATACCTATTTCCTCTAAAGGATGGGTGTATTTGTTTGAGTATACCATTCTCTCTGGAATACATTTACATTACTGCAGGTCATTTATAGGCCTATAAATATAACGCTGTTCCTTACACTTTTAGCTTACACTCAGTTATCTGCAATATAAAAATACAATTACAGAACAAAAACAATTTTCTAGCCAACACTCTGACCACACTTTGTTGTTCTTTTACTTATAGAACAATATCACGGAATCTGCACTGCCTGCTCTGTCAGTACACACAAGTAAAGGTAAGACAACCTTTTTAAAAGAACAGCAGAAACCATAGTTACAGTAATGGATTACTTATTATTGACCTCATAATGTTATACAATGAAATAAAACTCTACCTGAAACACTCCCACAAGTGACACTGGAGGTTTTAAAGTCAAATGATGTTTTACTGTTATGATATCTGCCAGTTTATTTTACTTTAGAAAAAGTATGAAACTGTATTTGGAAATACCACTGAATGGGAGTGTTACTGGAATATTCTAGTACCCTGCAACATGAAAACATTCCCATTTCAGTTTCCTTAGAATAACTTGGCTATTTTTGGTTATATGATGATATTTATGGAAGACGATGTCAAACAGGTGTGTACATGTATGCGCAGCGTGTTTAGATCTTATCAGCACTGTGTTTACATACTAGCATCAAAGGTTGTGACATGCCTGCGGTTATGTTAGCTCATCTTAACGTCTAAGCTCCATTCCAACTTCCTGTGGCCTCATACTCTAAATTATACCAAATAAACACGAGGCTGTTGTAAGACACATGAAATAGAAGCTATGAAATACAGCGTTACTAAAGCTAACATTGGGTAACCTACTAGCATATGTAGCCCAAACATGCTATCTGCTTCGACTTAAAAGGTGACACCAACTAATAAATACAAACACCGACAAGAAACGTAGGGTTGTTTTGTTTACCTGAGAAACGTTTGCCGTCGTAGATATCGATGTCGACCTGTCAACTACCTTCCATCCCGCACGAAAACAAAAACATTTGATCCTTCTAGCAGAATCCGGCCCCTGTTGCGCATGCGCACTTCATCCAAATGCAAAATATTAATGCACCCTGACCTCGTGAAAAGCAAAATATTATCCGTCACTACTACCGTCGTTTATTGTCTCATAAACTACTCTTATCCATAATAAATCTTTTGGTTTAATGTTCGACTATTATAACCTTTTACAATTTAATTCTCTATAATGACAGACGTAATGTCACGTACTCAACACTAGATGGAAGAGTGGGTCAAGTAGCCTGCAATGTGGGTCAGTACAATGGATATAGAGTTGTGTTTAATGAGCGAATAGAAGCATGAGACTTTTTTTCTTTAATACAGTTTAATGAAAATGTGCAACATTTGCTATATTTAAAATGCATATAGCAATCCTTCAAATCCATAGAAAAACACTTCTTTCAGCTTTGATGATCCGCAGACTACCTGCCTCCAACTTGACCTATCCCTGGCATCCTTTGATATGACAACCCTCTGCATAGTCACCTTCACTACATCCATGAATCTTCTCTGTGGTCTTCCTCTTTTCCTCAGGCTTGGCAGCTACATATTTAACATCATTTGCCTATTATATTCTCATATCCCTCCTGTGCACATATCCAAACACAGACTAAGCCTGAACTGTACTCATTTCTAATCCTTTCCATTCTGGTCACTCCAAATGGAAATCTTATCATCTTCAACTCTGCCAAGTCCAGCTTTGCCTCCTGTCTTTTTGTCAGTGTCATAATCTCCAATCCATACATAAACATAAATATAGATGCAGATACTGATAGAATATGTTAATAGTTCTAAATATGATATGCTTATACATTGTGTTTCATACCACCAGTTAGGCTAATGATGTCTTGCAGCCAGTGACAGTGCTTTGGGAAAATTTAGACTGCTGGTATAACAAAAACACAGCAGCTTTATCCTATCCCTGATATCTAATATGAATGTGTTCCTTGGTATAATTGCCTTTAACACATTTCACAAATGTAATATGAGGAATCAGATCCAGCTGTGAGAATGCCTAATACGGTCACCTAAATAATTGTTTGAATTCAAAGCCATGCTTCTGTGATGATTAAAGTATCAATGCCCTGTAGAGATAAAGAGATAGAGACGAAGCAGCAAATCACCAGTCCTTGTAAGGCAGCCCGATCTAACTGTTGGACAGTGTGAAAACTCATTAGGTTGCTGTGGTGGCAAGCACCCTGAGCAGTACTGTGGTGTCTGTGTGCCTGGTAATAAAAGAAAAAGCAGGGAAAGAGAAGGTGCAATTAATAAGATCAAAAAGTATTCAGATTTAGCTTTAGTAAAGTGCATTTATTATAAGTCATACAGTAACAGCACACTGTGTTGCTACTTGTAACACAGCAAATAGATTGTCATTATTTTTATTAACTACACATTTTTATGTTCTGTTACTTCGGCAATACAAGTGGAACATTTAACAGCAAATGCAATACTTTTTGCTATTAGTGTTCGCTCCCTGTCTGTTGTTATTGCACCTCATGGGGTACATTTCTGTTACAGTATCTCCTGTTAGCAGTCACACAAAACTGCAGCAAAAGCTTAAAAAAAATCATTTGATGTTTGTTTGTCCCCTCACCAACATTCCCTGACTTTATCAACTCATTTTTCTCAAAGTTTGACAGAGATTTAAAAGAGTTAACGATGTCTACCCCCAATGGCACAACAGCATCCTCGAGACACAGGAGGCAGAGAAAGCTGTGCAGCCTTTTGGCACATAATGAGCAGCTAAGGCTCTGTTTTTTTTTTAATGTCCAGTAGAGATGTTTGAGCTGAGGGGAGGTGGGATTTCGCTGGACCGTTTTAAAAGAGAAGAATTTACATTTTCACAAGGCCCTCTTATCTGCGCATGTTACAGCAGGCACAGCCCCAAATTACATCCATGGCCAGCCACACTTGACTGCATCACACAGATGTCGATCCACATGGGGTGTTCAATTACAGAGATTTAATTTTTCCCTTCACAGCTTCTGCCTTGTTATAGCCAGCTTTTGTTGTTTTTTCTTCAACTTTATTTTTTAGAGATGCCAAAACAAAAAAAAGCATGAGCCAAAATTTTAAATGCATATTTTTGTGCAGTGGACAAATGCAACACTTTCACTGAGTACATTGAATCAAATTAGCTCAAGAGAAAAAAAAAGAAAAGAAAAATTAAAAAAGAGCAATGGCTGTACTTCCTGGAACCAGACGACTGTAACTGGCTCATGTCAGTTGCAGAGACCGAGTTGGCTCCAAGGAAAAAGTTGGCTGTGCTGGTGGAAGTAGGATGTGAATTATTTGCTTACACGCGGAGGATGATCTAAAAATGGCATTGGAGAAATAGAGTTGGATGGCAAGTATCCCCACTGAGGTCTTGTCTTGTTTTTTAGTGAGACTGGAGTGGCTTGTGTCTGTATTCCCATGTATGCAGATGACCTTCAAATCAAACTCTACGATAAGGCATTGCCACTGACACTCATTATCACCAGAAAAATTTAACCTAATAGTTGCCAATCTGGAACTCACTGCCTATTTAGAAATCCTGCATTGGCACTCAAACCAGTCTGTGAACTCCATGAAGAAACTGTGCGCTGACATTTTACTGCAGCTCTCCTCTGGCTCTGCCTCCCCAGAGCTATGACCGCACTGCCACACTTGTTTACCATTACTCATCCCTGCTGAGTGAAGCCATCACACAACAGCAGCCGTCCGCATCACAGCACCTCTGCCAGCAGCTGGCCCTGTTACACTCCTTGTAGGACAGGCCAGATAACCTTTGTACAGAGCTCCTCTGGATCACACATGGGGAGAGATGACTCAAAAGAAAAACCCCCCCAAAAACGGTTGTTTCTTTGATACTCTTACAGGCTCACATCTGTGCATAACACATTTGGCACACTTGTAGACTAGTAAGCAAAGACTACTTTTATTAAAGCGCTAACATTCAAACATGATGGCATAGAATCATCTCACTATCATTAACTGAAAGGTAAAGCTCTGTTCCAACAACATTATTTGTTTTCTGTTGAAGATGTAATTTTAAAAAAAAAGATCATAAATACAGTATAGAGGTTACTGGGGACACTGAAATCAAACAAAAGTCAACTGTGCAGTTGCTGGAGACAGTTAGGAACAAATTAATGCACCATCAAAATGTATTTATTTATTTATGGAAGCAAAATTTGGAAGTGACGATAGTTCCCATGCTTATGACAACAGAGCCCTTCACATGTAATTCACTGACTTTTTTCATAATGCACTTAGGAAAAGGCCATGGTTTATCTACTGTAGACAGAATTGGATTACTGGTTATTTTTATTGATTGAAACTATAACAAAAATGGAAAATACAAAAAAACAAAAAAAAACAAAACCCAAAAAACAGTCATCTCCCTATAAAACAGAACAGTTTGGATTTCTAAGATGTAATAGCTTAGTTTGCATGTTTTACATTCTTGGATTAATTGATTGGTAAATTGGCCATGCATCCTGTTATCATTTGTTTTGGTCTAAGAAAAGTTTAACTTGACTGACAATGGGTGAAAAGCAAGACAGTCCCTGAACAGGCAGCAGGGCAGACCACTACAATGCACTTTTATTTATTTATACTTCTTCTGCTTCTACTCAATATGACACTGATTAAAGGAGAAATAGATATTTTTATACCACTCACTGCTTCGAGTTGCTGTTTCATGCTTAAGGCTCCGAAAAATTAAGATTGTTGAAAAGAGCTTAGTGAAGTCAGAATTTCTGCTTTGCTTTCAGCTCTTTTCAAACAACTTTTCAACAATCTTAATTTTTTGGAGCCTTTGTTTCAGCAGGAAAAAAAAGTACTCAGTCATAAGCTGAATATCCCAAATGATGCAAAGTCCACACAAGGGGGCTTCAAACAGTCTTTCTCATTAGGACATTAATTTATGAGGCTATTTAGGCGGGATAACCTTGAATTAATTCAGAGCTCAAGTTTCACATTTGACTCAGCATTTAATGCAGCAATTAGCCTGGTCAAGAAGATCATCATTGAATCTGTTATGAAACAATTACATAACATCCTCATCTAAATGATTTCACTCCCACGCTCGCTCGCTCTCCGTTTTGCCTTTTCTCTCTTTCTACTGCTTGTGTGTTTGTCACCTACAGTTAGTTTGAACAGTCTGACCTTCAGTCTGACCTTCAGTTTAACATCTGGTAGATGTAACTGCTGAACTCTGTTCTATTACTAACAGATAAAAGTAAAAAGCCTGAGAGCAACTGGGGAGCTATAGGGTCCGACAACTATTTCACTGTATATTTTCCCTTCTCTATTTTTACCACCTTTACTTTCTGAGGCAAATTATACTCTTTTCAATCAATATATGGAAAGTCGCTTAGCACAAAGATGGTATAACCTCTTGTAGGTATGAGAGAGTGTTGTTTTAATTTTAATTGTGTGTAGGTGAAAGTTCCAGTGGTCATACACTTAAAAGCAACACTTAGTTTCAAACTGCTCCATGAAGGGCCACTTCTGAATGTTCTACCTTCTTGACCTCCATGCTGTATATTGACATTTTATGGTTGAGGTTTTCAGGGAAAGCCTCTTTATACTCCATGAAATGTGTAATCTTCGCAGTCATAGCTTTGTTGATGTTGCAGCAATTCTATCCCGTCATGCTGTCTGCTTCAGCTGCTTGGAAAAAGAGTGCATGAGGCAATCAAACAGAGTCTGATAAGTGAATTTTAAACAAGTGTAAATGCAGTGCTACTCTATTGCTATGTTACGCTTGTCAAGCTTTTCATTCTACCATTGCACAACAATGGCCATTCAATTTCACACAGAAGCAAACAAAAGCAGTCTCATTTCTCACCAACAGCAATGGATGCTGTCAGATGCAAACGTGTCTGAAGCATGCAAATTGTTGGGGGGTTTTTTCAGCAAATGCAACTAGTTAGCATAAGTTACACTGGCCCTAAGAGTTGATCAAATATTGTGTCATTATAGGTCTGGTTTCAGATAAATCCCAGATGTGCGATGTGACATTA